CATTACCTTCAATGTATTTTTTCTTTTATACTTTCTACCATTTGTTTGATCTATCTCCAGCTAGCTTGTATGTTTTAGAAGCTACATAACTAACTTTTTTCATAACTTCACTTTCATGAATGGGATAAAGTGTGCTTACAAACTCATTACTTGAATTATACAAATTCTCAAGTCTAAATTGATGATTTGATTTTTATCAAAGCTAGATCTCCCATTAATTCACAATTCTGGTGTCATTCTCATCCTGAGGGAAAGTAGCTCAGAGGTCACTTTGCTTCATATAGTATTAGATGGGCTGTGCATTAATCTGAATGCAGAGGAAATGTAAACAGGTAGATCGTAGGCAATCATACATGTTCACTTAACTTTCCTGTTTCATTAGGTCATTTGAGCTAAGATTTGGCAAATATTTTGCATGCATTTTTTACCTAAGTCGTCTTGGCAGTTGCTCTCGTTTTCTTTGGTATTCACATGCGGCTTAATGTCCAATAATTTATTTTTAACTTCATTGCCCTTTTATAACTCATTTTCATCAACATTCAGGTTGGTCGACTTAAAGATGCTGATCAGGCCAGTCCTGAAATGTTCAGTCTTATCAAGCGTAATTCCTGCGGCAAGGCGCTCGATGCAGCCCGTCTGGCACGTGATATTCTTGGCGCTAACGGTATTTCGGATGAGTATCACGTTATCAGACATATGATGAATCTAGAAGCTGTGAATACCTATGAAGGAACACATGACATACATGCCCTCATTCTTGGCCGCTCAATTACAGGGCTTCAGTCATTCTTTTAGGCTTCTTCACAATGGGTTATTCCATTTCTCTACCTTGATGACGGATTAGTCTTCACAATGCTGCTGTCATATCCTAATATATTTGCTCTTTCAGCCACACTTTATTTTCCCTTTTTAGATTTTAAGCTTGCCAGACTTTTCAAACTATTTTTTTTGAATGCTCATTAATTTGATAAATCTTCCTATTTAATTTTTTTGGTAATAATTGCATTGGTAGCTAAGCTAATTATTTCTTGCATCTTGCAATACTTTTATTTATTGAAAGTGACATTCCAGTTCTTTTTTCTATGAATTAACTTTTATTTTACGTCACATGTCTTTCAGTCAATTTTTAAAACTTTATTTTCAAAATTTGCACTGCATTCTATTAGGTTTTGCTTTTTCACTTCGTTTTATATTCTAAAATAATGATCCACTAAATCCAAATCGAACTCTCACTTTTATAGAACAAATCGGAGCGAAATATTGATCTTTACAAAATTCTTGATGGAATGGGAGAGAATTATGTGTTCTAAAGCTAAGTACATTTGTATCATGATTATATTTCATTAAAGATTCGATAAGCTTCTCCTTAGTGGTCACATCTCCTTTCCAAATTAAAGAGATTTGGCCATCTAAAACTGTTTGCAGCTATGATCAGTTAAAACAAACTCACTTGTGAATAGAAGTGGGTTGACCTCGTTTTCGCAATTCGGTCTTGTCAGAGCGACTTAGTAGAATGCACCTTATCTGAAGTCCCCTATCATATTAGTTAGCATTATTCCCAGCATCAAACCGTGGGTTTGGTACATTCTCAGA